CCACCGCAGCCTCGACCTGGTGGGCTCTGGCAATCCTTCCGCTTTAGCCTTCCGAGTAGCCGGAATTACAGGCATGTGCTACCACGTCCAGCTGATTTTTTGATTTATTGTAGAGATGAGGTCTCGCTGCCCAGGCGGATCTCGAACCTGCGGGCTCAGGCAATCCACTCACCTCAGCCTCCCAAAGGCGCGGGATTACAGGCTGAGCCACCGACCCTGGCGAGGCTCATGATTTTAAAGAGGACAACTTTATTACGTTTTTTAAAAAAGGTTTCTACTATTTATGTTATATTTAGGAAACCTTTATTTATCCCAAAGTCCTGAAGACATTCCCTTATATTTTTTCCCGGAACATTTATTGCTTTAACTTTCATGTTTAAGTCTGTAATTCATTTTGAATTACCTTTCCTTCATAGTGAGATACAGGGATCTGGTTTGTTCATTTGTTTTTATTCTGCATATTCTTCCTGATGAATGGGTTTATTTCTCTCCCTCACAGATATCCAGTGGACACAGCACCATTTATTGAAAAGCCCATACTTTTCCCCACTGAATTACAATAGTGCCTTTTATTATTTATTCATTTTTGGAAATTTGGTGACTGTTTATGTGTGATTTTGTTTCTTAACACTGTTCCACTGGTGTGTGCTTCAATCGGCACATTCCTTTTAAAATTACTATGTCTTTGTAGTAAAGTTTGATATTTCTGTCCTTCTTAAGGATTTTCTAGACTTTTCAAGAATCTCTATATTTCCATATAAACTTTAGAATTAGCTCATCGATGTCCACAAATTGGGATTGCATTGGACCTGTGGATTTATTTGGAAAGGATTAATATTTTAATAATACTGAGTCATCTCATTTATAAAATGATGTATCTCTCCATTTATTTATGACTTTTTTATTTCTCTCAGCTGTCATTTATAGTTTTTAGTATAGAAGCCTTGCATATTTTTTGTTAGATTATTAGTAGGTATTTGATATTTTTATCCTATTGTAAATGATTGCAGTTACAAAAGTTTTACTTTTCAATTTTTTGCTAGTTTTATGTGAGCCTTCTATATCCAGCAACCTTGCTAAATTCACTAAAACTTTGTATAGATTAATTTTGATTTGCTATATACATGACTTCTATGTATAATAACAGCTTTATTGCTTCCTTTCCAATATTTATGATTTTTGCTTCTTTGTGTTCCTTAGTGTGTTCACTAGAGCCTCCAGAACAATGCAGCACAAAAGTGCTGTTATAAGACATTGTTTTCTTCTTCCCAACCTCACCTCAGAGAGAACCTGTTCAGTATTTTACCAGTAAGCATGATGTTAGCTTAGGTTTTTGTAGACTAAAAAAATTTGAATCTATACTTAATATGTAGAGAGTTTCTTTTTAATCATGGACAAATGTTAACTTTTATCAATTGATTTTTCTGCATTATCTGACATTAGCATATACTTTCTCTTCTTAATCTGTTAGCGCAATGCATTTAATTGATTGATATGTAAATGACAAATCAAATTTTCATTCCTAGAAAAACCCTCACTTGATCATTTGTTTTTTGATATTTTTAGTTATTGCTCGATTAGACTCAATTTTTCTAATATTTCTAACTTGCTAATGTATAAAATATTGTTAACATTTTAGATTGTGTTGATGAAAGACACCGTACTATAATTTTCCCTTCTTATAATGTCTATCAGGTTTATATCAAGTTATTCTAACTCAAGGATATAAAATGAGTGGAGAAATGATTCTCTTCTATTTGCTTGAATAATTTGTATAAGATTAATAATTGTTTTGTGTCTTTATATATTCAGAAGAATTTACAGTGAAACTGAGCCAGGAGGGCTTTTTTTGGAGGAAGATTTTTAATGACACATTAAACAGATTCAAGTCTTTAAAATTTTATTTTTTTAATATCAGATTAGTAGGTATTGTTTTTAAAAGAATTTGTCTATTGTTTCTAGTTGACAGTTTTGAGGGTGTTATAATGTCCTTTTAAAATATATTTTTTTAAATATGTAGGTTTTATAATTATTTTCCATTTTTATTCCTGATATTGATAATTTTAGTTCTCTCTTTTTTTGTGTGGAGGGTCAACATTTCTAAGGGTTTATCAATTTTGTTACTCTTCTAGAAAAACAAACTTAAGGTCATGTCTTTTTCTTTCCTGTACATCTAATTTTTATTTTATTAATTTCTACTCATATCTTTATTGTTTTGTTTTTCTACATTTTTGTATTTGTTTTACTTTTTATCTAGGTTCTTGATTTGGTGCTTAAGTAATTGATTTGCAACTTTTTCTTCTTATGTATCTAATATATGCGTTAAAGTTTTATATATTTTCTTCTAATCACTTTTTTGTTTCAGCCACAGGTTTGATGCATTATCTTTTCACGATTGCTCAGCTCACAATATCTTCTAATATTTCTATGACATCTTCTTTGATTCAAAGTTTATTTAAACGTGTTGTTTAATTTATGCACGATCCAGGGTATTTCTGAGATTTTTCTTTTATTAGTTTCTAATTTAATTTCACTGTTATTGGAGAACATGCTCTGAATTTAATCCTTTGAAACTTGTGTAGAATTTTTTAATGACCCAGGTCTGTATTGAAAAATATGTTCTTGTACCTCAAAAGAGTGTGTAGTTAAAGTCAGAATATTTATCTATCTATATATGTCCATTAAGCCAAGCTGTTAAAATAAAAACTATTTTATTCTATTATTTCTTCTATGTCCTTACAAATTTTTGTTCTATTTTCTGTCAGTTACTTTAGTGAAATGAGTTAAATTCTTTAGCTATGAATATGAACTTGTTTATAAATATGAGTTTCTCCTTTTAATTCCATTAATTTTTACTTTATATGTTTTGAAACTTTCACCAGGTGCATTTGAATTTAAAGTTTATGTATCTTCCTACAGAATTGACCTGTATATCATTGTTATCTCTTTCTCTTTATCTCTAATTTTGCCATGATATCTAATTTTCTAATATTAATGTAGCCGGTCCTGTTGTCTTTTGTTTAGTGTTTTCATGATATATCAACCCTTCAGCCTAATTTTCTCTTGTAAATAACATAAAGAGTCTTTTGTCTAGTAGTTTGGGTTTTTTGTTTTAATGGAGTGCTTACATATAATAAATGAGAATATATTGGATTTTGATTTACTATTTTGCATGTTTTTTATTTGTTTCCTATCTTTGTTCTTTATTCCTCATTTCCTTCTTTCTTTTGGTTTTACTCAAAAGAGCAAAACTATCCTAAGTCCTTAAATAATTTGAATTTGAGGCTAAAATAAAGGAAACCTTTTCTTAAATAGTTTTAATTTTTTTCTTGTATGTTAATTATTTAGATAACCACTTTTTACATTATTATTAATGGTTATCCTTTTAAATTTGCAAATGTTGACATGCATCCTTGACTTATTACCCTTTATGTTTGTATTTCATCACTTTCTTAAGAAAACAAAGCTCTTACAACACTTAATTCCATTTTCTTACCCTTGTGTTATGTATTTTGCTTCTTGAATATGTTATAACACCCCCCTCCCCCCCAGATATAGAAATGAGGAAGAAAATGTTCATGGACAAGACAAAAAAGCCTTCTTTATTCTTTACTTCTTTATTAGTCCTGAGATTATTTTTCTTTTAAAAACTATTTTAATTGGATTCTCTTGCTATTATAAATTTTATTAACAGAGACTTTCTCCTGTAGAGAAATACTTCAGAGAAAATACCTAGTATCTACAAATCTGTGACCATCAATACTTCCAAAGAGATGATGTGCTTCAGTGACTTCCCCATACCTGATCATTTTCCCAACTACATGCACAACTCCAAACTCATGGACTACTTCAGGATGTATGCCAAGCACTTTGGCCTCCTAAAATACATTCGTTTTAAGGTAAAATATAAATGAAATATTGCACAGTAAGTGTGTGAGTGTGTGTGTGTGTGTGTGTGTGCGCGCGCGCGCAGACACACTCACTTATGTACACACAAGAACTGCACTTGGCATATTCTAGTATGATCAGAGGAAGAGATCATTAGTGAGCTTCCACCATAGAAAATCATCACTTATAATGATATGCTTCAAAAATTTCACGTGAATGTGATGTTGAAATATTTTCCCACCAAGACCTATTCTGATAATACTTCAGTATGGAATGGTAAGGGTCCTCTCTTTTAGCCTTAAATTCAAAATATTTAAGTACTTAAAATAGTGGCAGTAGTAATTGAGTCAAATTATATTGCTTGTATATAGTACAAAAACCAGGATCATATAAACAACACATGAAAGACTCTTTCACATTCATGTAGTTACCATAATCTATCTACCACTATGGCCCCCAACTTACATATAAAAATACCATCTCTATAATCAAATGGAAGCTTAATTATTCCTGAAACTCAAAAGCTACACTCAGGGAAGCTAGACAGGTTTGTGTGAAAATATGAAAAACACAAGAAACATTATTTTCTTTCATATGTGCATCTTCCTGGAAGAAGGATATGTTTCCTGTGGCTTCAGTCATGCCTCTGTTTTTTTTCACAGCTAATTCTCAACTATTTCTATTTCTATGGAAAAATGGGCCTTTACTAAAATACTCATAAAATCTTAAAAATGCACACACAGCATAGTCATTTTGGAAGTACCAAGGAGTGAAAACTAAATGAGTATGAATGCCTCTGATGAGTTGTATTATTCAAATTTACAGGGTTTGGGGAGGAGGAAGAAACCTGAGTACTTTGATAGTCTATAACATGTGTTGTGCCCTTGTTCTCAGACTAAAGTGCAAAGTGTGAAGAAGCATTCAGATTTTTCTTCCAGTGGACAATGGGATGTTGTTGTGGAGACTGAAGGGAAACAAGAGACTTTGGTATTTGATGGGGTCTTGGTCTGCAGCGGGCATCACACAGAACCCTTCTTACCTCTTCAGTGCTTCCCAGGTATGTCACTAAGAATCTGTTTGGTAGAAAATAACTTTCCAAGTAACTTACAGAGCAAAATGATTGAGCATGAATTTTATTACTAAAATTAAATTTCTCTGGTAACAGCCAATAACAAACAGCTAACCATCCAACATTTTATGTTAGGAAGAACACACTAAAATACAAAAATAGTCCAAGACAACAACTTCTATTTTTTACTTACTATAGTTTTATAAAGCATATAAGACATAATTTTTAATATCTCATATTTAAATGATTTTAATTTTATGTCCACTTATTTGATCTCAACCCCTTCCAGAGAAAGTTAAATTAATAAAAACAAGTAACAAATGACAAGCAAAACCAGCAAAAAGCTAGCAAATTCATCCACAAACTTAGAAATCTCAGTATAGAACAAGATCCTAAATGACATTCATTTATAATGGATTTTCACTGGTTGATTTAAAAAACAAGCTAGTAGCTCATTGATTCCTTTGAATTCTTTCAGGCAAAATGGTACCCATCTCAAAGGAGACTACTAATTTTAAAAAAAAGCAGCAACAACAATAAGCTCTCCTATTCCTTTTGATTAAAATTTCTCCTTTTACTCCTACTCCATTTTCTCTCCTTTTCCATCAATTTTAATCAGGAAATTATTATCAATTTTTATCAAGAAAGATTTGATATCTTGGTGCCTTTCCATAATGTCTAACAAACCTTGATAAGACACTCTTTGCAGGTTGAGGCAAACTGAAAATAAGAGTCCCACATGGAAATCAAATGGCTTAAACTCGAATTTTTGTCATTCAAATAACTGACTGAGTTATGTATGACAACTATCTAGCTTTTCTGCATCTACACAGCAACACAATCCTTCATAAAATAGAAGTACTTGATCTTCTGAATGTTATAATGCAATATATCTTGGAAATCATTATATTATTGTGATATCATCTATAGATTATATTAATAACTGTTATATATGTTTCAGCTTCTTTGTGACCTGCTTCCTGGCTGAGAAATACTCCCTATGGAGAAATATGTGAGATATATGTATATTTGAATGGGTTTCAGAGGAGAGACACAAGCATGTCTAGAGGAAGACAATGTCTGAGAATGCCAGACACAGATCTGGGGCCCTATACTTTCATAAAACAAAATAAAACAACAACCACTTTTCCACTTCATCATGTTGCTTAAGACTACACAGTACAATATAATAATGAAAATACCATTAGGTCATAGTGAAATTGCTGTGAAACTTTCATTTTGGATAGGTCCAAGATAAATAGATCTACTACTTACTAAATACTTTATAAGGTCACTAGTCTATATTAAGAATGCATAGGTACTAATTCAGAGTTTACTCCCTTTTTCTTTGAGCTCTGTGAAATACAAAGTATTTTATATTTTTCAGGACAAAGGGTGATATTCAATTTACTGGCCCAGACTCAAAGTCTTGTTTTTTCAGATTATTCAAAATATAACTTTCTTCTCTGTTTGAGTCAGCATTATGAAAAATACTCATGTTTAGAAACTCTATTCTTCCACCATAGGCATTGAGGTGTTTGAAGGCTGTTATTTCCACAGTCGAGAATACAAAAGTCCTGAAGACTTTTTAGGAAAGAGAATCATAGTGGTTGGCATTGGGAATTCTGGAGTGGACATTGCAGTGGAGCTCAGTCGTGTAGCAAAGCAGGTTCGTTCATTTTCAATAAATTCACTAGTGGAAACACAACTTTCATGAATGGAAATCTATGCATCCATGGGTGCCTTCCAGAATGTAGATTTGGTTTATGAGGGGTCAGAAAGGAAAATGAAATTTATGGGCTGGTCTCAAAATGTTTAAATTCACGGGGAGCAGAGAATAAATGAAAAATAAATCATTCATATTCACATTAGAAAAACACGTAAACAAATTGCTTTTGACTGAACTGAGTGAAATACTCGCATAGATAAAACAAAAATGTCATACAATTAATCTGACTTTTCTCTCTACCACAACAGTACCTGAGCTCTGAAATCAATTTAACATAGTGATAAAGATAAGAAATTGGGAGTCCATCTGGGATCAGTAGATCTTGAGGGTAGAATTAAAGAACAGGAAATAAAGAAGATCAATGATGATAATAAACATATGACATTTCTTAACCAGAAATAATGTAATGTATTTACAATGATGGAGTAAAATAAAATGGGAAAATTCCACTTTAGGTATATTTAATTTTATACAAAAAGAAGTTATCCAAGAACTTCTTTTATGCTTGATTATTCAGTAATTCTTTCTTCTCTTGAAAAATTAATAATACTTTGAGTTTAGAAAAAATTGAGGTAATGTTTGCATTCAGAATTATTAGACACATTTAATAAAGCCTTAATTAATGAGAAACCCAACCTATTAGGATGTTCAGATATTATGATTATTATTACCTATTTTTTACTTATTGGTCTTAATTTGTTTTCATTCATCATTAGTTTTTAGGAGAAGTTATTGCTAAGCCACCTGGGATTTCTTTTAATTTAATAAGCATTTAAAAATGTAAATGTTTGATCACTATCACCCATCTTATTTTTACTCCATAATTTGACCAGTAAGAGTTGAGATTCAACATCCCCAAGATTGCAAAGTACCAATAATCAAATGAACAATTTAATATATTTTCTAGTTGTATTAGAATGCATAAAACTTTACAAATATATTACAGAAAGATTTGAAAAGTAATTTTGGTTACATCCAGTTAAGCAGGACACTCGTCCTGAACAATTTGATTCATTAAATTTTTTAAGGTACACTTTTATTTTGATGTAAACAATATTGTAGAAGTGTATAGTAGCTAATATGGCAATGTACTTCTAAATTTAAATTCTTATTTATATATAAGGCATAGCTACCTTAACATCCAGGAAAATTTTTTAAAATAGTACTTCAGAAAGACGCAAGCCAGTGAATAAAATTTTCTGTTTTTCATTCAGAAACTTGGTATCATTGATGCAGCTTTTTCCTGGAGATCAGTAGATAGTGCTGATTAGCATGATGACCACTGCATAATATTTTACCTCCTAATCCTCAGTAGTCAACACTCTTAGAACTGGGTAATGGATAGTATCTGAATAAAACTAACAGCATGAAAAGTGTTCTCTCTCTCCTTCACTAATTTGTTTTATTTGTCTCAGGTATTTCTTAGTACTAGACGAGGATCATGGATTTTACACCGTGTTTGGGATAATGGGTATCCCATGGATAGTTCATTTTTCACTCGGTTCAATCATTTTCTCCAGAAAATATTAACTACAGGACAAATAAATAACCAACTAGAGAAGATGCTAAACTCAAGATTCAATCATGCACACTACGGTCTGCAGCCCCAGCACAGGTGATAACCAAGGGAGCTTCATTTGTATAATTATGCATATGTGTAAAAGAAAGTTACCTTAAAGACAGTTCGACTTCTGGCCATTATTTGTTTTGTTCAATTAATCTCATACACTCATTCGTATAAAGCAGTGCTCCCCAACCTTTTTGGCATCAGCAGTTGGTTTCATGGAAGATGATTTTTCCATGGAGCTGGGAGGCAGGGATGGCTTGGGGATTATTTATTTATTTATTTATTTATTTATTTATTTATTTATTGTGCATTTTATTTCTATTAGTATTATTGCATTGAATATATAATGAAAAAGCAGAGGCAAGCACAGAGTTAACAGTGCATACAGATACATAAAAATACGGACATACATGTATACATACATACAATGTATATAATAAAAAAGAAGAAAAACAGAAAAAAGAAATTTATAATGAAATAATTATACAACTCGCCATTAAAAAAAAGAGGCATGGACAGAAGTGGTAAATAAAATAATGAGTGGGCCATGCATGAGCTAAAATAAGTGTCAGATTCTGACTTAAAGCCTGCCACCAGATGCAGCTGTACAGCTGAAGTATATCAACTTACTTGCCACTCACTGATAGGGTTTTGATATGAATCTGCAAACAATTGATTTATTATGATATCTGTGTCGTCAAACCTCACTGTTAATGTTAATCTGTATGTGAAGTTGCTCTCCAGCACCAGCATCACCACTTTAGCTCCACCTCAGATCATCTATCAGTCATTAGATTATCATAAGGAGCTGCAACCTAGATCCTTCTCATGCACAGTTCACAATAGGGTTCACACTCCTATGAGAATCTTTTGCCACTGCTGATCTGACAGAAGGCAGAGCTCAGGTGATAATGTGAACAATGGGGAGCAGTTGTAAATACAGATGAGGCTTTGCTCACTCACCCACCACTTGCCTTCTGCTGTACAGCCCAGTTCCTAACAGGTCATAGACAGGTACCGGTCTGTGATCCAGAGTTTGGGCATCCCTGATGTAAAGCATTTATATTATATAACATAATGTAATTATGTAAGTCGTTATGTTATATATTATTATGTATAATATATCATTATGTATATTATGTATAATATATAACTACATTTATAACTATATATAACTATTATATATTTATATATTTATATTTAACTACATTTAGAACTATGTATAACTATTATATATTTATATTATATTTACATGGGATAGCATTATAATTATTATATTATATATACATATAGCAATTATTATATTATATTATATATAGCAATATAATAATTATAATGCTATCCCATGTAAATTAATCAATATTCAGAGAGAAAATGAGTCAGAACATCAAAATACATGTCTAGGGAAATTGAGGCTGAAAGAGAAGTCAACTTGCACAGAAATATGAAGAGATTTTAAGGGGATTCAAGTATCACAAAAAATATTCTTTGTAACTTTGTAACTTAAAATATCATTTTTCAAGTAAAAATAACAGTAGATAGATTAAAGGGGAAATTTTTACTAGATAAATTAAGAGAAACTGGGACAAAAGGGGGAGACACAATATCTAAAAAAATAATACAAAATTTTTTCTCAGATTGAAAGGGACCACTGAATTCCAAGATGGATTACACACACACAAACACACACACACAAACACACACACACACACACACACACTACCCTTATTTAGGCTTCCTCAGTTTCCCTCACTTTCCTGTCCTGACCAAGAAATATTGACCAGCTGCAGCTGCATGTTTCTTCCTGCATACTTAAACCTAAGCTGGTCCTTGAGCATTCCCAGGCACTAATTAAGGTATTTAGGTTGTTGCCCCAAACACTGAAAGACACTTACCTGAACCCTAAGCCAAGTTCTTTAAACCCTCTGGTAAATTTTGTAACCTGAGCACCTCATTGCAGACATATCTAAGCAGAATAGTCCTTGTCCACCGCCAGGATACACTGCAGTCTTCTCCATACGTGAGTTCCTCTAATAAATGATTTTGACTGATCATGCTGGTGTTTACTGCTTCTTTCTTTGGAATTCCTACTGGTCTCATCTTAGAATAGTTTGGAAAACTCCCTTGTGGACATTTCTCACCCACAGCTAAAAGATAAAAAAGAAGTGGGGTGGGGAGAAGAAAGGAAAAGGAAGGAAAGAAGGATGGAAAGGTGGGAGGGAGGGAGGGAAAATATCCCATCTGGGATTGTGTGATATAAGGACTAAATAATGACTTTTTAAATAAATGGGGCATAGCATAAGAGAAATTCTAATAAATGGGCTAAATTGTCCCAACAAATTCAAGGAATGAAGAGAGAAGACAGCAGATCAGTAAGAAGATTAGAGCAACATTTCAGAAAACTAATCTATTTGGTGGAGTAAAAAAACCAAGGACCAGAGATTCCTCTTAATTATGAGTTTGTAAAAGCTCTTTGTATACTATAGAAGTCAATACATTTTTAGTCATCTGTGTTTCGTTTTTTCTGATCATATCATTTTCCCATTGATTTATCCTGTAGTATTTAATTAATAGACAAAAGTCTAAAATATTCAACACTCACATATATTCCTCCCTTATGTTGTAAATTCTGCATTTTTAAACTAGATGAAGAAAGTCTAAACCTGCCCCAAGATTGTAAAAGGAGTCTCCAAGAATTGCTTGCAAGATTCTCACTTTTAGCCGGGCTCGGTGGCTCAGCCTGTAATCCCGCGCCTTTGGGAGGCTGAGGT